AATTCTTCCTGGGTGGGAATGGAATACAATCAATCAATGAGACATTATAAAAAAAAAAAAAATTTTTTTTTTTTTGATAATGACTCATTGATTGATTGTATTCCATCTCCACCACAGAAGAATTTGTACATACATTGAACAGAAAGAACAAAATTTCTCTACATATACAAACCATATTAAAAATATAATATGCCAAGCATAAGATCATTCTGGAACGAGACCTTACAAAATATAAGTTTACTACAAGACAGGTGACTGTAAACACATGTTTGAAAGAATCTATAATGAATATTAAAAGGTAGCATTGGTTGTCGAGTGCCAATGTAGTGAGATGGTACAAGTAAAATCATCGATGGATAAATAGATAAATTTAGATGAATTGAAATACCTCCTTTTCTCCATATCAAATTTAGTTTATAAGTACAGGTTTCCGCCATTTCAATAGGGAAAATCCTATGAATGCAAGAATAGAGAAGAATATCATGATAGAAAGTAATCGTGGCAGGATGGCCCTTATATTAACAGTAATCCAGTTTGAATGGTTTGATACTTTTGTTGATAGTTTCCATCCATTAGTTTAATATGCTTTAACTCCTAAAAAAATCATATTTTTACATCCAACATAAAAGCATTACCCGCTGTCATTCATGGCAATGCCAAGACTGTCATGTAACAGGGCCACAATATAGGCTGAAGAGAAACAGTACCGCAACAAATCCTCCTCCTCTATGGCATGATACTTTCTCCTCAGTTTTGACCAATCTTTTTCACAGAATTGTTCTCCAGCCAGCGTCAAATCAGAAAGATATGATGAAGGACCCAATCCAAAGAACTTTGATGTATGGAAGAAATTCTCTGTTGCTATGAGTTTCCCTTGAAGCTTCGGAACAAAAGTTGAACCGATGTGGCAGTTCTTATATGAGCATCTATCTTTTTCCTTCCGTAATAACATCAATGCAGCCAATCGACATTAAGAGAAGTTGCTAAATGCATGAGGGAGCCTGTTGTAATCTATGTTCTCATTAAGTGCATAAGCAGAGAGGTTTGGTTGTTCCGCACCAAACCAATAACCTTTCGGAGTACAAGGATCAATATATACACCCTCAAAATAAGCTTCTGCAGACGCTTTATAGTCTCTTGAACTAGGCAGTCGGTGCAAATATTCATACGCTGTGTTCTGCCCAAGATGAAGGAAGCTGTGGCTGTAGAGATTATATGTGACCTGTCCAAATTTAATCACAAGAGAGAACTCTGGAGGCATTGGTTCGCTGGGAACAAATGTTATCTGAGCAGAAGCGCCACCAAGTTCAACTATCCCAGTGGTTTCCTGAGGTGCTTTTCCAAGAGTACCAAGAGCATAATTAGCAGCAATCCATGCATATAGTCAGCTCCTGAGATCACGGTCGCCCAGCCATCCTGAAACTTGAATCTAGACTCTCTGAGAGCGCTCCTGCAAGATTTTAAAATCCCCTCCGCCTGATCAAAATCAAGCAATCGCAAACCTGCGGTGGCCATCAGCCTGACCTCCGTCTCCCCCCACAGATTCTTTGGCACTTTATCCTTCACGAAATATAACAGCTCCTTCAATGATTCTACAACAACCTCTGGATTTTCGGCGAAGGCGGAAAGCCCTGGAACCACCTTCATCGAAGCTGTCAGTCCAAAATCGATCGCCGAAATCCCTCCCCAACCTCTTTTGTACCCGAATAAGTGAATACGCGTGCCAGTGCTTCCGCCATCAATAATGATACTGAATTTATGAGAAGATAGCGAGGTCAGGAAATATATAAGGCAAAGAGGCAAAAGCCCCGCCGCTGCCGCAAAGAAGGCGATGGTGGTGAAATGGCTGCGGGAGCAAAGGGTGCAGCTGTGTATGTTTAGGGCAAGGGGGAGGGCTTCCCGGCGAACGCATTTCGGTGGGTGGATTTCGGCAAGATGCCTGGAGCCGGGCATTTGGCCGGCGCATGAAAACTTAGCAGAAAAATTTTTTTGAGTTGCTGATGTTTGGTTTGGTGTTTCGACCGCACTCCGTCGAAGGGATAGGGGAGTGGAGGAACGAAGATGTTGTGGCTTCCCCTAATATATATAGCGCTTCTTCTTTGCGGAAGGAGCGCTATATGGCTCCCTACGTGTTAATCAAAAATGGTGATTACAAAAATGGGTAAGGAGAGGAACCCCCAAAACTAACTAACCAAATAAGATACAAAACTCACTCATAGGGGGGTCCTCAACCTGAGTACAACTCCACACACAATCACTCAAAAAATAATAAAACCAAAACACAAAATGAGGACGTATACCCAAAATACACATGTATACCCAATGAGCTGATCCTACACAAAAGGAATCCAAAACCAAAAGAGGAAGCATGTGAACCGAGAGCTGAAGCCGAAAACTGCTGGATCCAATGTAGAGGGCTGAAAATTGTATGCCCAGATGTAGGAGGTAATATCCTTTCAGTGAAAAACCAGGGCATGCTACACAACCACATTATAGACAATAAATTACGAGCAGTAGCCGAGCATAACACCAACAAAAACCCTCATTCAATAATCTTGCCATGATAAAATAGAACAGAAAACCAAAATCCAACCCATCGCACAGAAAACCTGACCATTGTTAGCATGAGGCAAGTCCCGTAGTAGTGACAACAACCCATGACACCATACCCCATAAAACCAAACAGATGCAGCATAGAATAAAGTCAACCATGAAGGCAAGTCCCGAACAATGCACCACCGAGAAAACTAAAATCTGATAAAGGGGACACCCAAGTTATCCCTACTACGAAGCATTCTCAAAGCACCAGAAGGTTGTAAACTAACCAGAATATTAGCATTTCCCAATCTTGCCAGATAATCAGCAGGTGTGTTACCTTCTCTATAAATGAAACTCATGCGCAATCTGAGATTGTTAGTGGATATGATATACCAAATCCTATTAATAATGCAAACAACATTCCATGAGGGTTATTGAGGTTTAAAAAGAATTTGGTAAAGAATCCTGGAATCAGTTTCAACCAAAATATTAGAAAGCTGAAAGATAGTAGCCACCTGCAACGCAAGGAGAACAACCCAACATTCAGATTCCAAAGGGCAATCTGCAGTGATAGGAGAAGCAAGATAGCATAGAGTATGACCCAACCAATCTCTTAAAACACCACAGTGTTAGACCAATTACCATCAACGTTGATTTTGACCCATCCAAATTCAGGAAGTTGCCAACTGAAAACCAATGGCCTCCGGATTGAGGCACACTGATCTTCACCCAAAAAAGTTCTGCTTAATTTAAAATAATGAGATAAATTGTAAGAAACAATAATGAAGGGGGAGGGGGGAGATTTGTGATACTTATAGCTGTTCCTTGCCATCCAAAGAAACCAAAAAATTATCAAGGGGAAATGCTCAACCTTACTTTGAGCATTGGAAACATCTTTCCAAACCAAGAGGATGTCTTTGAACTCAAAAATCTGAGGCCACACATTACCAAAATAATCACCAATCATACCCCAGACAGCTTTAGCAAATTGACATTCATAAAATAAATGTGCATAATTTTCCTCATCTGTAGAACAAACGTAACAGTTTGAAGCCAATTTCAGACCCTTTAATTTCATAATATCATCTAAAGGCAACATAGATAGGAAAAACCTCCAAAGGAAAAAAGAGATGATAGGCGAAATATGATTGCGTCAAATCATTTTCCCCCATTCCCAAACTCATTTGTGGAAGAATCGGAGGGAAAAGCATTACTCAAACCCCAATGGTCATGCCAAAAGGAGACCATCCCATCATCAATGTATCAGAAAATAACTTGGTAGCCACATCTCTAGCATTAATAATAGACTTCCAAATCTTAGAATCGCCAACCTTCCATGAAACTAGAGAAGGGTGCATATGCTTACAGTGCTTCTTAAGCACAAATTGAGCCCAAATTGAAGCCCCTGCACTGAATTTGAACCACAACTTACACTTGTTGATTTGTGCAAGATGTTCTAAGTTTTCGAAACCAATCTCCCCAGAGTAACAAGGCTTACATAGTTTATCCCAGGTGCTCCTCCTCTTCCTAGTCCCATCCCTAGACCAAAGGAATTTATTAAACATGTTATGTAAAGTTTTGAGATTGCTTTTCTTAATATTCAATACTTGTAAAGCATACAGCGAGATACTATGAAGCACACTCTTCAACAATGTTAATCTACTCCCATTAGAGAGGAAAATATTCCTCCAATCATCAATTCTAGATTTAATCTTAGCAACAACATCATCCATCTAAGTATGCCTTCTCCTATCTCTAAGAAGATTCACACCCAGATACTTAAGAGGCAATGAAGCACATTTAAGTCCATGAAATCAGTATCCTATGTTTTCGTATTGTTTTTAACATGTTTCCCAAAGTACATCATACATTTGTCCTGGCTAAAAGTAAGCGCAGAAGTGTATTGGAAAACCTTAATGTTTTCCATTAAAATTTTTAAAGCAGCTTTAGAGGCATTTGAGAAAAGGATAACATCGTCAGCATAAGCCAAATGACTTACAAGCAAATTAGATCTGTGAGAGAAACTCATATGAGGATGTTGCACCTGCATTTTAGTGATTAAACGAGAGAAATAATCAAAAGCAAAGATGAACATGGAGATATAAGATCAAATTCGTAGTATTTATGATCTAAGAAAGAACTCTCTCAACAGCAGTGAAGAAGCAAGATATATTTCCAAGTTTGAGATATACACAGATGCTAGTTGAACGGGAGAGATTGAGATATACACACATGCTAGTTGAACGGGAGAGATAACTGATAGCGACTTGATATTGTTCATATGTCCAAGGCAATCTCATCATGTGGAGAAGCAAAAAATAAGCTGTTGTCTGTCTGATTAGTGCAAAATCTAAATAACTTGCTCATCCACTAGTAATATGTGAGAGAATGTGGATTCAAAGGCTATTATGGAAACTTAAGGATGAGATGCAAGACACTATTAAACTATTCAGTGATAATTAAATATGTGTTGGTATAGCCAAAAATCCTGTGAATTATGACATAATAAAATATATTGAGATTAACCATGTTGTTGTGTATGAGGAACAAAATGAGGAACATAATAAAATATATTGTGTTTTTCCCGTTGATGGTTGTATCTTAGTGTTCCAAGTGATGCTTTGGTTGTATATTAGTCTCCAGGTGATGTGTATCTTCTCTATACCCTTTCATGTCTCTCTCACTTTGCTGCTACGCCTCTCTCCTCACTGCAGTTCCACCCTGACTACAACCACTTTTTTTTTTTTGTTGGAGATTTCCCTTGTTCAACCATTTCTTTTCACTGCCATTGTTGTTCCACCCCTCCACCTTCGCTGCCGCTTCCGTCTAACCCTTCCTCTTTGCTGCCGCCACCATTTCAGCCCTCTACCCTTGCTACCATCACCCCGGACAGCTCTCTCACATCGCTCCCTGCTGTTTGCTTTCTGTCCGACATTGGGAAACAAATGCTCTGTTGTTTTATACTAGCCAACCACTCTTTTCACCCCCACATCACCTTCCCAAACCTTGTTGACCACCACCACCACTGGATCTACCCCCTAGCTTGACTTTGTGTGCTAGTTATTGCAATTTCAGATTCTCGTATGTTGGTTGTAATTTTTTATTTGATTTTCATAATAAAATTTGGTTTTCTTTTTATTATTTGGTTAACTCCGCTATCACTTCATTTAAGAAATGGTTAACAATGAAATTGTTCAGTTTGGCTATGTTCCTACATGACTTTAGATTGTTGAAATTCTTGCTAAAGCTCTACCAAGGCTTTATTATGGTGAATTGAAGTTCAAGTTAGGTTTTTACAATATATACCACCCAGATGTATGGGGAGTATTGGAAAGTTCCAGTCTACATTAGGAAGAACTTTCTTTTCTTTTCTGATAATATAAATAATTGTATTTCCTTTATTAAATATTTCCCTTTTCATGCTCTTACTTTTAAAGTAATTTCTGTTTTGTTTCCTTTCAATATTATATAATGAAGCAAGGTGGAATGCCTTGTTTTGTACGAAAAATAAAATGCAGTATTTGCTTTTTATATTTTACTTTTTTAAGAGATTCAATATGCCATGAAACTAGAAATCTAACCCACTTGCCAGGGAGATTGTTTTGCTTCGGTATTTATTGATCTTTATAGGCTTGATTCCATCTCAGGAAACTCCACCTTAAGATGGATTAGCTTTGAACATAGCCACACTTCTAGTAGCCCTTCAAGGAAGACTTTATTTGTTGTCCAAGGTAGTTGATGTAGCTAGGTGTAGAATATGCCTCTTACATCTTTAAATAGGGTAAGTACTCGTTAAGTTATTTTACTTTATTTTGTTTTATTTATTTCATTGGAAGTTATTTTAAGTTAGTTGTTTTGTAATTTTAGAAAAATATACATAGTTATCTGTGAGTTCATATCTTAGCTCAAGTTGAATACAACTCTGCGAGTTCAACTTGTCAGCTCACCTTACCACTCACTCAAGGTCATGTCAGAGCAGGTATGACCACTTCTTGGAGATTCATGAAGCTTCTAATATGATTTTCATCTTCCAAGAGAAGTAACAATTTATTAATATGCCCTTAGGTTTCTTAGATGAAGTAGTGAAGCTTAAAGCTATTTCGAAGGTGTCTTAATTTTTTACCTCCATATTTTTGTAATGCTTTAAAATATCAATAATGATAAAAATGTAATGAGCTTTTAATAAAATAGAAATCTGATTGAAGTATTCATTTTTTCTATTTGCGAAAGCTTGAAGGCACTTCTTGTTCGTTAGGTGACCAAAACCAACTTCGCTTTGGTGAGAGGCTTATCCTTAATGTTTTATTTTTATTTTGTGTGATTTCTTTCTATCAATTGAGTCCTTGCATCTCGCTTAACTATTTTGGAAGTTCTCTCTAGGATCTAACTCTTTAGTTCCTGGTTATTCCCTACTTAAACAAGCTATATAAAATTTATTTCAATGCAACCACTTTATCTTTCATAAACTATATACACCGAAACTTTCATACCACAATCTCTAACAACCCTTGCATCATTTTTCTTACATCTTTTGCTATCCATAGAATACATATACCAACCACATCTTATATAAACCCACCCTCTTAAGTTCCAGACAAAATTAATTGGTTAAAATTCAACCTAAACCCCATTGACCTTTCATAGATTTTGGCCATCTTTGAATCGCTGTCTACCCAAAGCTTTATAAACCAAAAATCATTTCCATTGGGTTTCCTTACATTCTCTCAAACTAAATAAAATTACTCGACTCAACCCTCCACTCCAACATCCATTATATTCCCGCTGTCATTAATAAATAATTTTTTAAACTTACAATTACATGGTGCATATATTTCCTTCATATCTAGTCATATTCATAAGAATATTGCATTGTTAAATGCTTTTGTGATGAAATGTGTTAATAGATTTATAACAATTCCTAATCAAAATTATGTAGCTCTAAAAGTGAATTTTTGTATTTATGGTTGATCACTCAAGCATACTCTATACCTTCCATAGATTAATATTTTTAGCTTTAAGGATGATCAATGGCAATGGATGGGTATAAGTATCTAAGATTTAGGCACAATTATATTCAAGAAATTTGGCTCTAATATCAAATCGATAAAAATAAAGAATTGTTTTTATGCCAATTTGATATATAGATATTGATAAATTTCATAATGACCTTGCTCATCTCTTGAAATGTGCTTGGTTTCTTCTCTCACATAGATTAGATTGTGGAGTTGGAGGAGGAAAGTAGTTCTAGTCATAGGACTGTATCCATAAAAAGCTTGGTTGTTGCAGGATTGAAGTTGTGATTGAGAGCTTTCACAGGAGATTTGCTAACTCTTGTTTATAGAAATAATATTGCAAGATGTGCCAAACTAAGTTGAAATAAGTTTTGATAACCCCTAAGACTTATCGTTAAAGTTAAATAATGATAATCCTGAAGAGTAAATAAAATGAAATTCAAGTAGATCCTAAAATAATTTTAAATATTATAATATTTTATAAATAATCTAGAAGTATTTTTGATGAATGTATTGTTCTGCGTCACCCATATATTTGCCTACTTCAATCTTTAATGACTCTGGAGAATTTGCTTTCAGAGTTGATCATCCATTTGTAGCGTTGGCTATGTAACACCATGCAACTGTACCTCATGAACAGTGGAGAATTAACTTTCAAAGTTGATCATCCATTTGTAGCGTTGGCTATGCAACACCATGCAACTGTTCCAAATGAGGCCTTAGTTTGTGCCATTGTTATTGAATGGTGTGCCATGGCTGTTGGCAAGCTATCTAAATGTTTACTTTGAAATTATCTAAAGTTTATGTAGATGGTTTTATTGATTTGGAAAAGTTAAGCACTTTTACAGCCTTTCCCTTCTATATTATGTGCGCCTGGGTGTATTTGAATGTGTGCTCATTTGGGAAGGGTATATTGTATTTAATAAATCCATTTTGTTTTGTTTATTCTAGAAAAACCTATTGTAGGGTTGTAGACTATGACTTTCCTTTGTTCTGAATTGTAATGTCTTTTTAAAATTGAATGATTTGGGCAGATTTATATTCCTTCAAATCCTAAAGGGTCAGAAAGACTTGCACCAGGGATTATTGTACCAGAATCGGATTTTTATCTTCGTAGATTGTGGGGTAATCCAAGTGAGGTATGCCACTCTATTTGGTGTACTTATTTACATTTTTTTTGAGGTTTTGTTAATTATGAATGAATCCAAATCAAGTAGGATGATCATTTCAGATCATATGATCATCAAACTCAAGAATTTTTAGATCTACTCAAAACTATTTGTAATCTATAAAAGCAGAAGTGAATACATTTATGAAAAGCCATAAATCTGATTCATTTGAACACTGAGAAGGTAAGTATTTTCTAAATATATGCTTGCATGTGGCATGTTATGTTAGAAGTTCCTTGAGACATGCTTGAATGTTGAGTTCTTAATTTTTTTTATTAATTTGTTGTGGTTATTATCAGCAATATAGGAATTTTGTAAAAATACTTGTTTAAAGGGACTGTAATTCACACTTTGATTCCTTGCAACCCAAACTTGGATGAGAGATCCATATGCTAGTTTAATGACTTGCTACTACTCTCTATAAGTTCATAATTTACTTGAAAAACCATTGATAAGAGAGCTTATAGTGGCCTTATAAAAATTCATTACTCAAAAAATAAAATTATTCTTGTTACTTTCTTTGGACGAAAAGAGACATTTTACAAATGAAGGCTTAATAAGCTATTGGGAGGCGAATCCAAACCAGAATGATTGGTGGTTCTTTCCGTCTGTGGGTCAAAATCCATCGACCATTTCAAAATCTTCATTGCTCTGTTATCATTCCAGATTAATCTTCTAGCAAATAAGCGTGTGTAATCTTGATCATTATTTAGTTGAATGAGGATGTGTTTTCAATTTAAAAGCCCAATTTTTCACTCCCCAACAAAGTGCATAAGCTCAAATTCCTTTCGAATAAGCTCCATTATGGAATAACAATAAAGAAATTTTCCGACTAAATTCAGACGACAGGGGAAAGCAAGCTGATTACATTCTGCTTCTGTAAAAAAGATGACTGACTTCCCATTCTCCTATCAGTTTTCTTGATGTCCTCCGCCGACACAAACGAAGGAGGGAAGGAGCACGATTTAGGAGTACTTGAGGCGTGAACACTCACAAGGGCAGCAACATACGTTTTGTCTGAAGCCATCACCAATAGAAGGAGGTACGACGTTAAGAACAATGAAGGGAGCAGAGAGCAAATGATGAATCCAATACAACGAGCAAAAAGCGGGGCAGAGGAAAGCCGCTCTGGTTGGAGCACAGACAACGGTGGAAGTTGTCGCAGCAGCAGCCATACACCGCAGCAGAGAGGGCGACAAAGACGCACACCGCAGCAGCAGACGAACCGCAGCTGCAGACAATTGAAAAGGACAACGAAAGGAGAAGGCGAAAGGCAAAACATACAAAGTCGAAAGAAAATGCGAAACCGACGACGAGCGTGAAACCCTTCTTCCTCGATTGCGAACGAAGCAAGCGAAATGAGAATCAAAGGAGCTGCTCGAGTTCACCTTGAGGCAAAACCCTAGCAGAGCCTCCCGTTATTTTAGATTAGACTTAGTAATCCTATTTTTTTTTACTACAAAGAATTGTACATAAAGGTTAGATGAGAGGGCCTAAACTGGAACCCTAAGCACCCGGTATACAACACATACCAAAGTCCCAAAAAAGTACATGTATACCTAAAAAAACAAAATTATAAACTTGACATGTAAACTCTACGCTAAAAGTCTCCAAACATTGGATAATGGGAGCTTGAGTACGACCCAATATATCCTTACCTTATACCTTTGGTTCTAGGTAGGGAGCCTGCTAACAAATAGTTAAGTCTACTGGCATTACCCAAAACAACCAAGATATCATCCATTAAATTCTTTAGTTATAGTAGGCTTTTATTATTATTCTTCTTCTTGGAGGTGTAAACCCGCCAATCCTCATCTGAAGGCTTGCTCATTCGATTAGTGTATTGGTATAAAAATTGTCGGGAATGTGTAGGTTGTTGCACAACATGATCCCCTTGTGCCTAAATGACAGTAACAACTTGTTTGATCTAATGAGGTGGTAGGGCCACAGTAGAAAGCTTACTTAGGGTAGAATATTGAATTTGAGGCTGGGGCACACCTATGGTTGGACACCTCACCATGAGATTGCCAACCGTTACATCAAAGATAGGTTCTAGAGTATGTGAAATATCAAATGTCTTTTCTGTCACCACCGGCTGAGATTCCGCAGGAGTAATCAAAGAACCTTCATCTTGAGTATTATGTGGAGGCTGAATAGTTGAAAGATTTCTCACTTGGGTATTGAACCGACAACCACGCCGGCCAGTGGACTAGATGGTACGGTTACCACAGTGTTATTGGGGTCATAAATATCTTTGTGATGATTAAGAGTGTCACTAATTTAGAGAAGAGGAGGAGGGGGGATCTCTAAATCTTGCTGGCACTTTGCTTTTTTGGTTTTAGATGGGGGTGTTGATGGCTACCACATAGGGAAAAATTCAATAACTACACTTTGTCAATATCCTTGGTGTTGTTAGCCTAACCAAATTTCTTCAAGAGGCGGTTAAAGTGGTGTCCCTTTCAACTAGTACTCTAACTTCTAAAGAACGTGAAAAATTAAAAGTGGGAACGTCCTTTTTGAGTGACCTACCATAGACTGCAGCAATAGAGTATAACACTTCTTAATTAAAATAATGAAATTTCATGTCAGGGAGACAAATCCAGACCGATATGGTTGGTGTTTCAGTCTGTGGGTCAAATTCACAATCAATTTCAAAATTTTCATTGCTCTGTTATCAATCCAAAGTAATATTCTAGCAAATAAGCGTGTATATTGTTTAGTTGAATAAGATATACCGCATATCTAAAAGTCTTATATTTCACTCCCCAACAATGTAATTCCTTACATATAAGCTCCAGTTTAGGATGGTCATAAATGAATTTCCCGACCAAATTCAAACGACAAGAGAAAGTAAGCAGATTACATTTGGCTTCAGTATAAAAGATGGTTGGTTTCCCGTTATTCCTACCAGCTTTCTTGATGCAACCGAACTCGCCACCCTCAGACAGCGCAAAAGAAAACGGGAATAAACACAATTTATGAATTCCTGAGGTGTAAACACCCGCAAAGGCAATAACATAATTTATGTCCAAAGCCATCACCGCTTGAAGCAGGAGGCGAGGCCTTAACGAGCAGTGAAGAATGCAGTCGAGAAAAGAGCAAACGGCGAACCCTCACCACAAAAAGACCCCGACAACCAATGGGGTCGAAAGAAATCGAACGACAATTAGGGCAACTGCAGTAGGTAGAGGGAGGAAGCGAAACCTAGCCGAAGGAAGCAGCTAAACCTACTCGAAGGTGCGTCTTGGACACCGAACCCTAGTCGAAGGAAGAAACAACGTTCTGCCCGCGTGTAGAGGGAGGAAGCGATCGAAGGCAGAGGAGGATGGTCTGTAGCTTTATCGAAAGGAGAAGAGGAGTTGTAGCCGTGAGTTCAGCATGCGCTGAAGTAGCTGTTACCGAAACACGAATTGGCCGTTGCCGAAATCCTAAATCGAAGGAACATTTTCGCCAGAGGCCAATACAACCTCCACCTCCATCGATATTATATATATATCAATAACTTAATTAATTCAAAATTATTTATTAAAGCGTACCCTTACAAACTTCAGTTGACCACCTCACGCATGAATTTGTGGTATCTCCTTTCTTCTGGTTCCTCTATATGCGAGCACCGCGTCCGAAACTCTTTACGTAGAAGGAAAGCTTCTTCTTCTTTAATACGGGCTGATCCTCTCTTTCTTCAAGCTGCTCAAACTAGCAGATGACGCATGATGCGATCCTCTTCTTCTTTGGGACTTCTATCACGAGGCTCTACCCAGGGTAGCAGAGAATTGACGCCGCTTCCATGAACTTGCTTCTCCTACGCACCAACGCGATCTAACAGATGTAGAGCTTCCCTTTGGCTAGGTTTCAACGTCCAGGCTATGGATGCAATGTACCCCGACAAGATTAAGTAAAAGCTTAATAACAATCTAAATTGTATAACATAATAAATATGAATACCGTTCTTATTTAGGCATTCAATTTTAGAGGAGTCGATGTAAAGGCGAAACAATCGGCATCTAGGTGAGCATTCTTACTTCTAAATTGTGGTAATAGTATTGTATTTCTTCTAAATCACTCACGTTAGAATATTATTAGTCAAAATATCTTGTTACTGTACTAGAATATTAGAATATGATTATTTTGTTTATTTTGTTTTATTATTCAATTTAATCATCTAGAAATGAATGTGAATGATTTGCATAGTTATGGTTATTTACTGCATATTAATGTTATTGGGTGATTTTTTAGAATGTAAATGAAATGACTTATATTATGTTTGCATGTGCATGATTAACTATGAGTTACTTTTTCAGGTACTAGTGGAAGAATATTAATAAACTCGTGCACGTAAATGAAAAAGAACATTGATATTAAAATTCCTTAAGTGGTACAAATTTTTAGACGGTGCTCTTGTGACGGTTATGTAGATATGAAATGATATTGATATGATCTTAATATAATATTAATATGATATAAATATAGACTCTTTGAATAGAATGTTAAATTTTTAAAATAATTTATGAAGAAACTTAAGCGACATGTATATTATTTTTTTTTCTTGTATTGTTGTAGTTAAAGAGTATGAGAATTTACTGGCTTGTTTAGCTTATTATATTTTTAAATTAACTTTTTAGGTTAATTTAGTGATTATTGATGAGTGATAGAAGAGAAAATGTTTATAAAATATGCCGACAACCAGTAATGAGGTAAAATTAATTTTAATATTTATGTTAATTTAATTAGCTATTCTTCTATCTGTTAAATTTTAGAATTGTATAGAAAATTTAAATTCATACCATTCGACCGTTTGCACCGCCTTGGTTAATTCAAGAGTCGGGCCAAGTCGTGATAAAAGTGGTATCAGAGACCAATGTTTAGCTCCTAACCTAAAAGGCCTCTCTCTAGCACAAAATTCCTAGTCCTTAGATCTCTAACATTCAGCCTAGGGGGCTCTAAAGAAAAGAAATGCAAGGGTTTTAGGATATCTTTCCGATGCAAAGGTTGTGAACGTGTTCTTTTTGATATCTTTCCGATGCAAAGGTTGTGAACGTGTTCTTTTTTCTCCTGCAAAGCCCTCTTCAACGTCACCTCAAATGGATGAAGCTCTCCTCACTGTAGAAGTGTTGAAGGAGTTATGAAACTCCGATCTTTAAGCTCCTCCGATGGAAGGGAGAAGATGCTCTCCTTATTGTAGGAGAGTTGAAAAGGTCACCGAAAGCCTTCTCTCAAGTGTGGAAGATCTCTTTGGATGTATGGATGAAGCCTCCAAAGAACTCACCCTCACTTTCTCTCATAGATATGTTGGAGAAAATGGGAGGTTTGATGGAGGAAATGAAGTAGAAGAAGAAGAAGAAGATGATTTTTCCTTTTTCTCTCCAAGACCTTTTTGTTTTCATAGCTCTTTCATATCTCCAAGCAACTTCCAAGCCCTCTAACCAGCTGAATGGGGTCTCCCTTTTTTATATATTAGGCATGCAAAAAGCATTCTAGTGAATTCCTCCCCCTTGTGCCACATCATTTCTTTGTGTGGTGAGAGTGTGACCCCTCATTTTTTATGATAAAATAATTAATATAAAATATTAAGTTAGTTTAAGTAACATAAGTGTAATTTATCATCAAAGCACACATTTAATTATAAGTAATAGACTTTGTTAATATCACATATGGGTGTAAGTGGAGGGGGCAAAAAAACAAAAAAATTCGCCTAGAGCTGAATTTGGCGGCAAAGTGCGCGCGCGCGCAGGAAGATGGGCGCGCGAGGGTGGCTAACTGGGGGAATTACTCGCAGATGCGTGCGGGAGTGCACACACTTATGCGGGTGCGTGACGCGCAATTCTACATGTGTGTAGGCAGGCGTGCGCTGCCAAGCATAAGGGCGCAACTGCACGCGCGCGGACTTTTGGAGGCTGGATTTACCTAACACTGGCAAGCGGGAGCCTGGATTTGGCCTGGATTTGGTAACCGTGCTAGCAAGCATAAAGGTTGGATAGGAGGATGGATTTGGCTAGCACATAGCAACTGGGCTGGCTTGCATGTGGGTTGGACGTGGCTAGGATTGCGGTTGTGCGCACAACCACGCTTTTGCCGGGTTCTGCGAATGCTTTGATTTGCATGCATCGTGTCAGATGAGACCCGTGCACGAAAACTCCAACAATATAGGTGTCCTTAGTTAAATTCAACGTTTCAAATGCATTCGCGCGGTCTGTTTTATCGTCCAGGATTGTTCGGGCAAATTTCAACGATGGACGAGCCGATTTTGCCTCGATTTGCATGTTGGCATCAAATGAGACTCGTGCATGAAACCCCACCAATATGAGTGTACCCATTAGGTAAAATCGACATTCTGAACGCTCTCGAGTAGTGTGTTTCATCGTCCAAGGCCAGTTTGGCTTCAATTTGCGTGCGTCGTGCCGAACAGGACCCGTGTACAAAACCCAGACAATATGAGAGTTCTTAGATAAAATCGACGTTTTAGCACACTCATGCGATTTGTTTTGTTGTCTTGGATCGTTCGAGCAAATTTCATCAATAGACCAGTCAATTTGACCTTGATTTACGTGCTTCACTTTGAATGAAACCCATGCACGAAACTCCATCAATATCGATGTCCACCCTAGTTAAAATCAACGTTCTCGACGCGTTTGGCCAGTCTGTATCGTCCTCCTAGGCCAGTTTGGACTCGATTTGTGTGCATCATGCCGAACGAGATCTATGCATGTAACCCAAACAATATGAATGTTCTTCCTAGGTAAAATCAACGTTTCATACACACTTGCACATTCTATTTCGTCATTCAAGGCCAATTTGACCTCGATTTGTGTGCACTGTGCCGAATGAGACCCATGCACAAAACTCCATCAATATGGGTCTTATTTTCTAGATATAATGGACGTTTCGGATGCGGTCATGCGTTCTATAAAATACGTCTGTGGCTATTTAGTTATACTAGTTTATAACCCATTGAGTTCTTGTTATGTAACTCATCGGGGGGGGGGGGGGGGGGGGGGGTGCTGCAATCATAAACATCTTGTTTTATGACTATTCAGCATGCAATATAGGCTAGACAATGGTTACTATTTCAGAAAAGATAAACAGTGAAAGCTAAGTTGAGATTTTCATTTGTCTTGAATGGAGATTGTGGAATTTAGGAGGAACTTTCTTAGAGGGAAAAACTCTGTAATCTTTCATTAAGCTAATACAAGCAATTAACATGTATATATACAATTCTAACTATGATACAATTGGAGAGAAATTCTAATCTTCATAAGAAGAAGGAAAAAATATAAAGACACAATAATGGATAATGACGGGAGATTAATTCTCACCCTCAAATATAACAGTTGACCAACAATTTCCTAAATCGTGGGTGGGCCCATGTGGTTCACAGATGCATACATATCAACTTCATATGACAATAATAACAGTAAATACTGTGGCCAACATGAGGATAGGGATGTTGCAGTCAGCTATTGGTTTTTGACGTTTCTTAGTCTCTTATACTATTTTGTTGAGTATATGCTGTTTGTTCTTCTATTCTATCTTTATTTCAATATTAAAATTTTTCAATAATTATGCAGGATCTAAAAATACAGCAGAAGTATCTTGTAACGTTTACAGTTGGATATGATCAAAAGTATAATATTGATGCGGCAGTGAAAAAGGTAAACGAAAGATTTTCGTTTTTTTAAGATTTCTATATTTTGTCAAAAGTCAAGCACTTGTGTTACAACTTCATAGTTAACGCTCATAGCTACTCTATGGAATACTTAAATCTTTGACACAGTTCAACTATGTAACATTATTGATTGATTTTAATGATGATACACATTTAATTCTGCGGAATAGCAAATCCTAATATGGTAACCCAGATTACAGATATGGATATATTTGGAAGCCCATTTTGGTGTTAGTGAATGATTTTTTCTTAGCACGGTTCAATCCCATCTCAAGCTTAAGGTACAAGCTATCTAATCTTATCTTGAGCCAAGCTAGGCTTCCGTACATCCTAGCTCAAACTGATCTCCATTCAAGCTATGCTTGGCTCATTTAATTTGATTTGTGCTTGATTTTAGCTAAAAGTTAATTTGATTTCAAAAAGTTTTTTTTTAATTCCTGAGATACATTCGTAATTCAGCCTACAAAAAACACTCGTACGTGTATCCATGTCATAAATAACATATCCATGCCTATATACATTAATAAAAATACAAATTCATAATTATATGTATGCATGCATGTATACCTAAATGCATATACATTTTGCTTTGATCTCAAGCTAGTTTGATTCAATCTATATTGGGTCAATTTTAGTTCAGTTCTAGGGGGTTTGACTTTTATATCTATCTGAGTTCAATCTTGAGCTAACGTTGATCTGGTGTTTTGAGTGATCTTAGAAAATATTCGCAGACTTTAATGTCAAGCATTTTAATGTTTTAAATTTATACTAGTAATGATCGTGGACATAAACATTTGAGTAACTCAATGCACCATATTACTTGTTCCTGGTAACCTGAAAAATTTAATCTGAATATTTAACTATGGTTCTCCTAAAAATCTGGAATATTTCTAACATTGAAACTGGTAGTGTTTTTATTTTATTTTTAACATATGAACCCTAAACTTCTGCAGTTCTCTGAAAATTTCACCATCATGTTGTTTCATTATGATGGTCGGACTACTGAATGGGATGAATTTGAATGGTCAAAACAAGCAATTCATGTAAGCGCAAGGAAGCAAACCAAATGGTGAGTCATAGTTGTTTTCTTTTTACATTTGTTCTTGTCTGATGTTTTTCTAATCTCTGTTGTCTCAATTAAAGGTGGTATGCCAAACGTTTTTTGCACCCTGACATAGTTGCTCGTTATGAATACATCTTTATCTGGGATGAAGATCTAGGGGTGGAGCATTTTAATGCCGAGGAGTGAGTTTCTGCATTTTTTTTTCCGTTTGATTTTGATTCGAAGAAATCTACTAATATAAGGTTTGAATTACTAGGTACATAAAGCTGGTGATGAAGCATGGTTTGGAGATTTCACAACCTGGCTTGGAGCCAAACAAAGGCTTAACCTGGCAAATGACCAAAAGAAGAAGTGACGGTGAAGTCCACAAGTTTGTATTGGATTTAGAGAAATTAACTAGCTTTAAAATTCCACATGGTTATTTTACTTGAAAAAAGTAAAATTTCTTACGCCTCCATTGCTAAAATAATTTTTACATTTGATTTTGAATAGACAAACGGAAGAGAAGCCTGGCTGGTGCAGTAATCCCCAGCTGCCTCCATGTGCTGCGTATGGTCTATATACTCCTTATCTATAAAGATGTGCATGCATCAAAGCCATTTCAGTTTTCTTCTTCCAATTATAATTTGTCGCTGTTCAACTCTCAGATTTGTAGAGATAATGGCACCAGTGTTCTCACGTAATGCATGGAGATGCGTATGGTATATGATTCAGGTGAGACTAGATATATCATATGTGAGCAAAGCTGTCAGACTTATTCCATCACCATCCATTATTTCCTTGCAATCCTTTTTTTCCTGCAGAATGATTTGATTCACGGATGGGGCCTTGATTTTGCGCTGAGAAAATGTGTGGAGGTACTCATTTTTGCATCAATGTCTTTTAGTACACACGATGGAATGATTTTTTCAGCCATTAAAATAAAAACCGCTTGCTCTGAATTACATTAAACCAGCCCGCACATGAAAAAATTGGTGTTGTGGATTCTCAATGGATTGATCATAAAGTGGTTCCTTCACTCGGGAATCAGGTGAGTGAGCCATTCCATGTTATATATCTATATCTATATGTGTGTGTGTGTGTGTGTGTGTGTGTGTGTGTGTGTGTGTGTGTGTGTGTGTGTGTGTCGCGTACTTCGGTCTGTTGGTTGGCATCCTTGGTGTAAGACCCCTCGGGTCGCTCATTTGAATTCACCTCTGGCGATGTGAGCGTTCAGGAGGGTGGTATTCGAATTGTTAGGCACATTGTGTGGCTGGCGGCTCGTATAATAGCCCTGACCATTCCTTTATATATATATATGAAGGAATAATATGTGTCGCGTACTAAGATCAGTTGGTCGGGCGTCTGCTTGTTTGTAAGTCTTCTTTGGTTTGGGGTTCGATTCCCCCTGAGTGTAGGGTGTGGTACTCAAATTATTCGGCTCATGAAGAATGACCGGGGCTCGTATAATAGCCTTCGGTCATTTCTTTACTTTATTTTTAATATATATATATATATATAT